GAGAATGTAACGTAGTTCAGACAAGTCATGTGGTAAAGAACCCATGTCTCTAAATCATAATAGTACGAACATGGAAAGGCGGATTCTTCTGCGCACTTCCTTCGTGGTACCGTGCTGAATCTTCGTTCCACAGAGTCCTTTCATTCACAACGTATCGGCGGAGGTTGATTTGTGCACAACGCTTTCTTTATGCGCGGCGATCTATTGTTTCGCTGACTGCCTCGCGCCCGCTCGTTTCCACACACACTACTCATTAATAGTGCACCACACTACACCCCTCCAAATTTTTCATGACAGTAAACCTCCCACGCAATCTCTCCTACTTTCGAAACTGTTTCAGGTGTGCCGTAGATCTTTCTCCTCATTCGTACCATTCCCTTAATTGCTAACTTAAACTCGCCGCCTATCTCATTGCCGACCCGTGGAGTATAAAGTTCTTCATCGATCGATTACACCACACGGTCTTTTCCACTTCGGTAGAGGTTTTTCGCCCCGAAGCCACATGCGGTTGTACGTTGGTTATCGTTTTAATTCACCTTCGAACCGATTGTAAAGTCTCCGGACGGTTTCTTTATGTTGGCTCGAGATTTGTCCATCATCCGCTCCTAAGCTGCCTTCAGGTTTCGGTTTGCTACCATACTTTTATTTCGTTCTTTCCCTGACAGTAGTATCAGGTCAGCCACACTCCCAATTCCAGATTCACAGTAACCCTACTTCTGCGGCTGTACATTAACTGAAATACGGACCTCTTGGCGCTTGCATTCTTACATATCCCGTGGGCTACTAAGAGTAGTGGTGGAGCCTCTTCCCAATCTACACCCTTTGCCGCCAGCCATACTTTAATCGTCCTATTATTCCCCTCCATCACTTCGCCTGTTTATAGATGTCAGGGAGTGAAGCATAAGTTTTTGATGCACAGTTTCTCCAAAAATGTCTGGAACTCGTCACCTACAATACATGGGGGCTGAGCTATCCTGCTTCCCGCTATATCGAGTTTCATCAAGGTGTGTTATCGAGTCAGCGCGTTGATTCGCAACTTCCGCGGCTTTAATCCATCTGCTGAATTGCTCCAAGATCACGGCTGTATACTGCTTTTCAGGCCTTGTTAACGGAAACAGCCCTTTCAGGTCAAGTGACTACAACTCACTAATTTCGGATACTGGAATAGATAGCGTAGGTTGTGGTGCTGCTTGATTGTTTCCCTCCTAGAACTGAAACTCCTGATAAGAGAATACCTAGGTATCGACTCCTTTTTCACATCAAGCCATTAAGCTGGCCGTCTGGATTAGTTATCTATCCTGATACACCCGGTGTGAGCAATCTCATGGCATGAAATTATTAACTTCGGTGAAACACGGGTACCGGGGTGCCGTCTCGCCCTTGTTTCCACATCAGAATTCTGACCTCGTTGAGGCGCAGCTTTGCCAGGATCCGCGCCAACTGCTTGAGTTGCTGCTCTTGGCTTTTGGTTGCCGCGGCTTGGTTACTTATTCGTGTTGTTCTCATCTTATTGCATTGTTTAGCCGCTAACTTTCCTGATCCTGGTCCGGCACTGAACCACTGACACTGAAGATGACGCCCGGCAGTTCGTCCTTTTCCATCATGCAGGATAAAAATGCATCGTCTTGTTGTTTTTCTTTGTTGTGTGGTCCTATTCTTGTAGGCGCAGAAGCCAGCTCGCCAACTTATCTCTATTCTTTGGAGGACCAAATCTAGTCCAGCAGTCTGTGGTCTGATTCGACATGAAATCATTGGGGCAGAAATTACAGTCGCCGCTTGTCCAGCGCTCCAAAAATTGCCATACACCCTTTTTACTTTGGAGTACATACCTTCCGACCGTCTTACAATTCTGCAAACGTATTTGATCATTCCCTGCTCTTGTCTTCTTGTCGATCGATTCCGAGGTTGCTTGTTTCTTTGGCCATCTTGAAGGTTTCTCCTGCTATCGAAAATTTCAACGTCACTTTCTTCCTCCCCATTTCCTTCCGAATGTCCACCAACGCTCGCTGAGCTACTACAGGCCAAATGAAATTCGATCTTCTACCAACAGATCATACAAAGATGATGCCATGTTGTTAAACTTCCTGATGAATTTAAAGCAGTACCGTACGCAGACCAGGAATGCCCTGAGACTGCGTTTCAGGGTCGGAACCGTGGTGAAACGGATTGTCAATAGTTTCTACTGCAGCGGCTGGAGCTCATGCTGAGGCACCTTGTGACCAGACAGTGTCACGGTTTCCGCCATTTGACATTTAGACCCATTTGTCCGTAATCAAGACTGCTGACTTTTTGCAACTTTGTTTCCAGCTGATAGTTATGCTCTATCACTGACCCATTACTATGTCGTCCTCACACGACCGCTTTCTCTAATCCGTATAGCAGGTACAGTATCAAGCGCCGGAAGGTGATTGGGGCACCAGCCAATCCAAACGGCATTCTTTTAATCTGGTACTGCTTCTCACTGACTACAAACACTGTATTCTCCCTTTCATTCTGTTTTCTCGTTATTTGCTAGCGGCCAGATCACAAGTCCAGTACTGTGAATATCTTCGATTTCTGCAGTCTGTCGAAAAAGTATACGACTGCTACGACCGGGACAAGCCGACCCAGTGGTCTTCATTGCGTCTTCTAAAGTCCACGCAAAAGCGTCACTTTCCATTGACTTTATTCACCACGACTGGGTATTTGTACGGGCTGTTAGCTTCTTCGATTCGTCCGCATTTCATATCTCTGGCACCTGCCTTCTGACCTTAGCTTGCAGGTGTATTAATATACTTCTGGGCGCATGCCGCCGTTACGGTTGATGCGATAACGGAACTGTGTGTTTGCTCCCGTCGCAAAACCAGCAAGGGCAACTATCAGTCGTAGGCACGATGTCGTACTTGCTAACAAACGGTCGTAGGGTCGGACTTGTGCGTAAAATGGCTACGACCGCGCACACCCGTATGAATCCTTCTCTACCAACAAGTGTTACAGACCGTGCTTCTTCGCCACTTTTCCTCGTTTCAGGTCAGGGATGGCCTCGCTGACTTGGAGTATGTCGTCCCCTCCGGCCGGTCTGTTTTGCGTCGGGTGACATGACGAAGAGATGGCTGAACTTCCGACCGATGATACTAACCACATGCTACGCCATACCATCCATGCGTATATCGTACCCAACGACCGCCTCACCACCATGAGACACGAGTACGATATCACTCCATCTATGTGTTTGATTATATCAAGCTAGCAGTTTGCTGTCTTCTCGTTCACCGCTACCATCGCTTCAAACTCACCATTGTTCAGTGCCACAAGTATGCACTCCCGAACACAAGAACGAAGCGGTTTATAGCTTTTATTTGGCACAAAGACTGTACTGCGTTTTGGCGGACATTGCCAATCCTGGTGTCCCAGCTTCCCACAAACGAAGCATCGTCCCGTCGGTCGTGACCGTGACAGAGAATTCGAAGTGTCCTGATGTCTTGCGTAAGTTTCTCCATCCTTTCTTCTAGCTTATCTAATCGGTACTCCACTTTTTGGACTTCCGTTACAAATGCAGAGAATGCCTCCGGTGTAAACTCCTTGCCACTCGGGCAAGGTCCATCACACCCGTGGTATGGGTAGCGTTCACAAATCGGAATCGAGCAGGTGATCGTCGGAGGTAGACAATTCAGCAACTGCTCCAACTACAGTTACCGTCTTTCGCGTCCTCCAAATTAGACAGCGCCCGGCCCATCAACTTACTGAGGTGGGAAAGGAGATATTCGGGTCCGCTCCCACTCCAAACCGAGCAGCCTTGAATCGCCGCATCGCGTCCTGGCGGCTGGCTAGGAAGTCGGACCTTGCAATTAGCGCTTTATTCGCAGCGGCTCAGTCCAACTTGACAGGGCCACTTTGCATCTTCACCAGAATCGCCTTCGATGCAGAGAAACCAGCCTCACAGGTTCCCGCTCTACTCCGACTGCCTCCGCGACATCTATTAACTCACCACTAATTTCCATCCATCCCCGTTCTCAAATGACTCCAGTCAGGAGATCTTCATGGTGTACCTGCGGCTGGTCTCGGCACCACATGTGGAGGAGGCAAAGCAATACAGATGGGTTGGGTATTAGAGAACCTATGTCTAAATCTCATAACGGTTGGGAAATAGAAAGTCGGGTTCATTTGCACACCTCCCTCGTTGCACCGTTCTGACTCTCGGTTCCGCCGCGCTCTTTCGTCCACAACATATCGATGGACGCTGATTTGTGCTCAACGAGTCCCTCCTCCATTTGTCTTGTTTGCCGCACATGCTTTGTCTGCGGCGATTCATGGTCTCCCTAATTTCCTCTCATCGGATTGTTTCTACACGTACTGCTCTTTAGAAGTGCACCAGTAGTCCTAATAACCTTGGTAGATGGCGATGCGCTTCACACAACTCCGGGATAGTTCCATTCACGCGAACCAACCAACTTTAGGATGCCCATTTAGAGCTACTAATATTTCGGTCTCCGAATGTGTGGGACAAATATGCACGTTTTCCAACGGCATACGATGCTGTCAAGACTGGCCTTTTTGAGACTACTGCCTCGCTGCTCACCAGTTTGTTGGTCTGTGACACGTAGCAGTGAACAGCCGTCTAGGTATTCCACAGTCAATACCTAATTAGATTGTTCGTGTTGCATACTAAGCAGGGTGAATTTATTACTCCATTTGCACCTAAAGCCAAGAAGAGAGCTGCATTTGCCTGTATTTTGATAACCCATCCGGGACCTGCATTATTTGTCTAACCATACACCCGTTAATGTCGGCCTAAAGGTGACACCACATGCTTCTACATACGGTTAAACGGCTTAACGTATGCTTTAGGAGCTGATGCATGGAGAAATTCTCAGCCAGCTTCAAATTAGATCAAAAGATAACGATTGTGGTATTACCGTAGGTGCAATATCCTACAGTGCAATAGAATATACCGTGGTAGACTCTCATTTTGTCAGTACTCTAAATGCAACTGAGGAATTTTGTTATATTCCACGTTTCAGTTTTCCAATACATCAGAAATCGGGCACAAAGAAGCTGAATACCATGACCTCACTTCGAGTACCCACGAGGCCAAGTAAAGATGAATGGAACGATACGGCTTTCGAAGACTTGTTTTCCGCTGGTTCTCCTTCTAGTCTGAGCGACAGCAGTGATTGTCTTTCATTATCAAATGTTTTTGATACATAATTTTTCAATTTTTTAACTATAAAAACTTACCAATTAATCGTTAGCAGCCTCTTGTTCCCAACAGTCAGACAACTTGGTTAAAGTCGGCGCATATCCATCGTAAGTCTCACAGAGTAGACCTACAAATCCGTATTTATGTCTCATTTACCTATCCGCTTGGATGAAATGATTACTTATAAATGTGTCAGTGCCGAAGTTCTGTAGTTGTTGTGTCGGGCCCCGAGACTGCTTCTACTCACTACCCGTAAAAGGAACGCGATCAACCAAAGACAAGGATTTAACACTTATTTTACATAGGGAAACGACTTCTTTATACGGCATGGCGTATAAACTTGAAAGTCAACCAGAGTACGGACGAATAAAGCCAATAAGGGATGAACAAATAAGGAACCAAGCAAGTACACACAAAACACAGAAAGTGAGAGCGTTAGCGTCAGAGCAGGGCTGCGATCGGAAAGCAACAACAACTAGTCTAAACAGCCACCAGGGTTAGTGAAGTGATACGTTAAAACAAACATCAGTGAATTATCGGAACAAAATAAAAGTCTGCGCTTGTGCTCGGTTATACAAGCATACCATCATTTTTATTGTTGCTTTAACACCGTCTTCTTGAGAACTAATTTCAGTTTTAGTCCACATGCCTCTGCCGACAGGGATGTTCGCCTTAGTCCAGTTGGATCCACACCTATCCACGACCAAGGCGGTTCGGGCTTAGGCCAAGGGTATGATGTCGTTCCTTCGAGTAAGTTGTAATCACATGAGTATTCAGGACATGTATCCTTATTTGTGCAAGCTATGACATGATTCGGTGGCTCACTGAGCAAAGTAACTACTGAATCCCATCCATTCCGGACAGATTAACGTCGGTACGTTAGGCTAGATACATGGTTTAAAGTGTAGGAACAATGGAACGGGTAACAAGTCCCGCAGGATGACAAAAATAAGGATCATAACCTGGTGAAAAGAAAACAAAGTGATAAAATGAAAATCCTTTTGGTCGACTGACCACAATAATCACACGGAGACATGCAGAAAGGAGCCCAACCCGATTGTTTCGGTTAGTGCAAGTTGTGCAACCTTCGTCACCTTATATCGACCGCTGATGTATACAGGCTACATCTCATAACGTAGGCGGGTTAGAGCAACGTCACGGTGCATTCTAAACACCAGTAACGTGTCAGCGGAAACAAGGAATTTTGAGGGGGCGTTCCTTTGCTAACAGACATGAAGAGAGTAAAAGTTTCGCCGACATTCTATCCGGCCGTATTGCGTAGACAACTTGAACTGGTGGCCCCTCCAATTCATGATGCAGTAGGGGGCGGCAGACGTGGTTGGGGTTCCTCAAGATCTGGTAAGTCATTATTAGTTCGTCACGTAGGCGCCGATACCGGCCGATGTGTAGTCTTACATTTATCAGCCTAAGTTTATGTTCAATGAACAATGATTTATCACGGGATAAAAGCAAGTGCTTGACACGTCCCGTAGGATGGTTGAGGTGAATATGATGAAATCAAAATATATCTGGGTCATCTACTAAACGTCTGCCGAGAGGAATAGTTTGATAATTAACATCATTGTAAAATTAAAGTATTTATCGAGCGTAAACGTTCAGAAAGACACTGGGGTGCAGTGATCGTTGATGAAAGGAGTGAGAAAACTAAAATATGGTCGCTCACTTAGGTCCATTTTATACATAAATCCTGTTGAAAAGCATGCTTGGAGTAATCCACAATAGAGGAGTTTAGGTAACAAAATTCTGGGAGCTGAGAGCAACATCTACTCGTTTTTTGAAAACGTCCAAGGTAGGAGAGGATACAACTGAGTCTGGGAGTGCGTTGGCAAACCCGAAAGGAGAAGTAATTCCGTCGGCACTCTGGACGGCTATATTGGTCCTTCAACTTTAAGCAGTTACCCCTGAGCTGCGTGTTGTGACTTAGTTTCAGCAAATGGCGGCATACATTGTTGGGGTCACTCAATATCTGATACGCTAATATGAGATCCCCGCGCAGCCTGCGATAGCGTCCGCTGAAAATTCCCAGCAACTTCAGCCTTTGGTGGTAAGAGTGATTGCGCAGGCCCTTTACATTCTTTGTTGCTCTTCGTTGTGGTGCCTCTATCACTTCTAGGTCGCGCTTCATCCAAGGTTGCCAAGCTTGGATAGCGTATTCAACATGCGGACGTAGGTTGTAATTGTGCATCACTGGGAAGATTGATGGGTCAAATATTCCGAATGCTCTTCGAAGCATGCCGACGTGCTGGTTGCATCTTTTCGCAGCTACCTCAGCCTGTTTTGAACAGTTGAGGTCACTCTGTACGAGCACACCAATCTACATTCAGACGCCTATTGCTCATGGTCCTGGAGAACCTAGAAGGCGTGGTTGTCTACCCTGATGACATCATCATCTTCTCCTAGACAGAACACGCACATGGTACCAGGCTTACAGCGGTACTACAAAGACTAAAAGAAGCTGGTCTGAAACCTAGCCGCAAGAAGTCACAGATTGCTCGGAAGTCGGTTGTATGCCTGGGCCGCATTGTGGGCAGTGGTCAAGTCCGTCCGCTTCCGGAGAAACGTGAGATGAACAAGAGCTTCACAGTGTCAAATTCCAAGCTTCTGCTCCGTTCATTCCTGAGAGTGGTGGCTTATGACTCGATGTTTAGGCCCCATTTTGCAGAGACAATCAGCCCATTGTTAAAGCTGCTTTACAAAGACGAACCGTTCGTATGGACAGCCGAAATGGATAAAGCCTTGAACTACCTAAATGCGTGCATAGCAGAAGCCCCAATATGCCTACGACTACCCAATCCTGTGGCAGTCGACGCAAGCAGTGTGGCAATCGGTGCGGTATTGTCCCAACCAACTGGAGTGGTGAAATATGCGAGTAGAATACTGAAAATGGCAGAGCAGAAGTATCCCATGACGGAGAAAGTATGTTTGGCCATCATGTGGGCCTTAGATAAGTCGAGAACCTACCTCCTAGCGACTGAATTCCGGGTCGTCACTGACCAGAAGCTGGTTTCCTGGTTGATGACAGCAAAAGACCCACATGAACGCGTTGCGCGTTAGGCATACCGACGGCAAGCATTTAACTTCGCCATTGAGCACGTAGACGGAACGCAGAACATCCTGTCTGATATGTTGTCACGTCCGTCATTGGACGACCTCATGCCGGACACACTATCCCGGTGCGTGCGGGTCACAATGGAGGAGAAGAACCTGCTGGATGTTCAAAGGACAGATGAATCTGTGAAGGTACTGTTCTCTAACTTACAGACTGGCGCCAAGCCGGAGGCCACATCAGGAGATTTGGAGAAACTCCTTAGGATCTGGGATAGACTGGGAGTCGAAGACGATAATGTGGTGGTTGCGACAGATGAAAGGAAAATAACTTTTGCTCCGCCGAAGCTGCGAGAACGGATGATGCGAATAAATCATGATGGCGTCCATATGGGAATTGATAATGTCTGAACTGCTACAAGGAAAATGTTTTGGCCTACCATGCGGAAGAACGTCGCAGCATACATCCGGGCATGGCCAAACTACCAAACGAGTCGCGAGCATGATACACCGAGGCCACCGATGCGATCGACAGAAGTCAACGAGCCTTTTTCAGTGTTGGGGACTGGATGTCTTTGGATCCTTACCAGTGAGTCGATCAGGAAATAGATACGAATTAGTGATGATTGACCAGTTCACTCGCTGGGTATAAGCCATACCAATCAAGGATCGAACAGGCGAAACCGGATCACAGGCATTCGAATGCAATGTGCCAGCAAGGTATGGAATAGCATAGTGTGTTCTCACCGACCAAGGGCCCTGCTTCGAGTCAAAAGCGTTAAAGGCAGTTTTTGACAAGTGGGGCATCCAGAGGCGACGCACTCCACCGTACCACACGCAGACCAACGGAATGACGATGCGGTTCAACCGGACCATGAAGACGTGGATAAACTGTACAAAGTTGGCATGGGAGGTGGCATTGCTTGGAATTCTGCTTCCCTATCGGACCGGCATGCAACCGACCACCAAGGTTGCGCCATCCGAATTGCAGTTTTACGGAGAACCACGGATTGCACTCAATACGTGCTTAGCGAAACCGAGTGAAGTGAAACATCCAGCACTGTATCTCGAACGATGCAAACGACTGCGAGAAGAGGAAGCAAAGCCCAACAGACACGCAATAAGATGAACTACGACTTAAGGCATGAGGCTCACAAGTGGACCCCGTCCAGGATTGGAGAACAAGTGAAGGTATGGAACAACGATCGGCCGGATAATTAAGGGCCAGGTGCGAGCCAGTTCAGGGAACGCTGGAAAGTCCCCTACACCATACTGGGTCAGAAAGGAGTAAAGTTTCAAGTCAACAATGGAGGAACAAAACGCTGGGTTAACGCTGCCCTTCTACGACTATGGTACGCGAGGGAAGAACAAGTTCGAGAAGGGCCGGGTGTAGGGTGGCGGTAGCCTGTGACTACTCGTGGGCAGGATAGAAAACGAAAACCGGATAGTAGAGAATTGCCAACGGGCGCAATGGATGCGATGAGACAAGGCACTTCGAGCCTTGTGGATCGAGCCGAAAGCGGATCACAAGCGGCCTCTGGTAACCATCCTAGGCCCGCTGTGTTGTCGACGTATCAGCAACCGTAGTCACGCAATATTTCGGTCCATCAGCGCATGGCTATTGCGCAGTTGTATGGTGGGTATGGGTCCAATGCGGCGGAAACCGCAAGGCGCTATAATAGTATACAATGCGTTATGCGGCCCAGTAATGAGCTGTATGTGCATCAAATGAGGAAATTTGCAGAAACTAGCAGAGTTTGCAACATTTAACAAAGCGGACGGCCTCGCACCCCCACGGATGAATTTTCAGCTTGCGCGATTGCGCGTGAGGTATGCAGTAACAGTCAGCTCAGCATTCGTTAATTCGTACAACCTTGTGAAACCACACCTTACGCTGTGCATAGGATGTTGAACGGAAAATAATTTTGGCAGTACAGTGCACTGTAGGTGCAAGTGTTGTACGTATGCGATTGACAGAAGCGCCTGGAATTCACCCGTTTTTAAACAGCCTGAACGTGTATCCCATTTTGTTTACCGATGAGGCGGTGTTCACTCTGCATGGCAAAGAAACGCAACATGTTAGGGAAGCAACCAACCCACGACAATGTAGCGCTTCACGTGTGCGACATAGCGCGAAGCTCATGGTCTGAACTGGGTTGACTGGACGGAAAATCATTATGCCATTTTTCTTTTCCAGGAGTGTGTCCGGTAGGTTGTTGTTTGACAGTACTAATGTTTGACATTTCTTAGCATTGCCGCATATGGAAATGTTGCAGAGCAGCTTCACTCCACGACTACAGTAGGAAGAGTCAATGAATAACGTTTGGTGGCAGCACGATGGCGCACATGCACATTCGGCGTAATAGGTTCGTGCCTACCTGAACGAGACATTCCGTAGACCTCGGCCCTCGATCGCCGAGGGCCGAGAAAATGGCCTGCGCGATCACCGGATCTGACTCACATGGATGTTTTCTCATGGGGCTACTTGAAGCGCAGAGTTTATCGAAGGAAATTTAAAAGCCTTTATGAACTGAAAGAGAACATTGTGAACGAATGTAGGCAGATTTCGTTAGAGACATTGCAGAAAAAGCTCGCCAACACCATCCGGCGTCTGCTCCTCTGTAGCCAGAAAAAAGCGGAAGGCACTTCACACATTTAATTTGTTGATATATATAGACAATTCACACTTTTTGTGTAAATATATGCAAAGAAATGAATAACTGCATATTATCCATTGTACATGAAAAACACCATCGAAGGCCTGATCAATTTGGTCAATTAGCGACTGTCTGATTATGAGGGCAATACTCGCATTCATGACTAAGTTGGTGTGCTGTCTAGTGGTACGGCTAGTGCGTCGGGGCAGACTGAAACCTAAGAGCACAGCGAACCCACCTCCTAATGCGGCAACAAATGCAATACTGCTACACAAACGCCCAAGGGCTTTACTCCAAGTTGCCGGAATTGCGCCATCGGCATGAAGCAGCAACTTGGGACATCATAGCATTAACTGAAACCTGGCTCTCAAACGAGATTTTGGATCCAGAAATTGAACTTAGTGAAATGTCAGTCATTCGAAATGATCGTCCATCTCGCGGTCGTGGCGTTGCTATCTACTACCGAGATCACCTGAAATGTGAAGCTCTCACTGAGCATTCCCTTATTATCCCCGACGCCTTATTTTGCCGGCTGCAGCTATCCGGTCCCGATGGTTGTCCTCAGAAGAAGATACATGATGCTTGGCTCATGGCAGTTGTCTACAGGCCGCCGAACTCCTCCGCCGACAGCGATGATATTCTGTCAAATGCTCTCCAATATGCTATGTCGAAAAAGTACTCACAGTACCTAATAATGGGGGACTTCAATGTACCGTCAATAGCATCTGTGTTCCCAAGTGGGCCATGCTTCAAATCAAAACTCCTTGAGTTCTTGGCTATGGCAGTTTTGTATAACCATGTGGATCAACCAACCAGACACCGCGGTCCAAACAAGCCTTCAATACTTGATTTAATCCTGACTAATGAGGAGTTAATGGTTGAGTCGGTTTCATACAACCCCCCGCTAGGTTGTAGCGATCATTCAGTTCTAACGTTTGATTATGTGTGTTATGCCAGTATGGTTGATAAAGAACCAGAAACCCGACGATTCATCACCAACTATTCCAAGCTTCACACTATAGCGACAACCGTTGACTGGGACCTCCAGATGCACACTTCGGCGAATGATGCCTGGCAAGTGTTGAAAGGCAAGATAAACTGGGTCCTACAATCAGCTTCAGAAGACGTACCATTACGAGTTTCGCGACGGAGCAACAACTGGATCCGGAGTAGAACACGTAAGTGGTTGAATAGGCGAGACGAGGCTTGGAGGGGTCATTTGCTAGGTCCAAGTGATATCACGTGGAATCATTACAAAACAGTCAGAAACTACTGCACTTCACTCTTTAAAGCTGACAAGTACGAATGGCAGGAAACTATGGTACGCAAATTTACTAGCAATCACAAACTGCTCTACCGGTATGTGAATGACAAAAGGAAGGTTAAGACGGGAATACCACTACTAGAGACGGTCAATGGCCTAACGGTTACTGAAGAGGAGACCGCGGACGCATTGCTCATGCAGTTTGTCTCAGTGACTAGACACACCATGGAACCATCGCCTTGCTACATCCCAGCAAATGTCGTCGGCTTATCCACGGTCAACTTTAGCCCTGCATCTGTGGCAAAGAAATTACAGTCGCTCAGGGAAAATAGTGCGCCGGGAATTGACAAGATCTGTCCGAAAGTACTTAAAACCCTTGCACCCACCATGGCAGTCCACCTTGCAACCTTTTTCTAGTTTCTATTTGATTCTCATACACTTCCGTCTGAGTGGAAACGTGGACTTATCACTCCGATATACAAGGGAGGTAAGCGGTCAGACCCTGCCAACTACCGACCTATTACTCTCCTTCCTGTTCTATCAAAGGTGATGGAGTCTATAATCGCTGATGAAATGGTGAGATATTTTGAAAGTCTACAAATCATCTCCAACCTCCAACATGGATTCAGACGCGGACGATCTTGCCTCACCAATCTACTACTTGCTCGGGACTCATGGACCAGGGCTGCTGACGAGGGAGTTCCCGTAGATGTGATTTACTTAGACTTTTCTAAGGCATTCGACAGAGTCAATCACCCAGCACTTCTCCGAAAGCTTGCGGCCTATGGTATCCACGAATCCTTGCTCACATGGTTGGAAAGTTACTTATACGACAGAAGAATCGAGGTAAGGATCGCCAACACCCACTCCGATAGCCTATGCGTCACTAGCGGCGTACCGCAAGGATCAGTTCTCGGCCCGTTACTCATTTTAGTCTAAATCAACGACCTCCCTGCCAACATTCAATCACCTATGCAAATATTCGCCGACGATGCTAAGATGTGGCGAGCTATTCAGTCAACATCTGACTCTGTCTATCTGCAGGATGACCTGAACCGGATTCACGAATGGGCAGTAAACAACCAACTACCCCTGAACCCCGAAAAGTGTCACCTGTTGTCGCTGCGCAGTAACTGCAGCAACACATATCACCTGGGGCAGCGCGTTATAAAACAGGTGAGCAACGAAAGAGACTTAGGGGTCATCGTGCAAAGAAGGTCTGGGTAATTCGCTCCAATGTTCAAAGGCGGCTAACATAGCGAACTTAAACTTGAGGCTTTTGAGGCGAGCGCTCGGTACCTTCGAGCGGCAACTCGTGCCATTATTGATTAACGCCTACATTCGTCCCCACCTCGAGTATGCGGTGCAGGCATGGCGTCCGTGGTTAAAACGGGACATTCGTCTCCTGGAGCAACCACAAAGAAGAGCCACTAAGGCAACACGTAGTCTATCGGGCCTTAGTTATGAACTGCGCCTTCGTTCGATCGGTCTGTACTCCTTAGAATACCGACGACTTCGCGGTGATCTGATCCTCACTTACCGGATACTAAGAGAAGAGGACCATCCATGTAAGTCGCTGTTAACATTATCTGCCGACAAACGATGCCGAGGCCATGCACTAAAACTTGTGACTCAATATTCCCGTTTAGATTGTAGAAAGTTTTTTACTCTCTTAGTGTCTGTCCGCACTGGAACGCACTGCCATCGCATGTGGTGAACGCACCAAACATCGAGACATTCGAAAGACTATTGGACTTGCACTTACATGATACACATTATATAACGGTATGACAAACTGCAGTGTCTAACTTACTGATATTTTTGTGTCACACCTGAAACTTTTCTTTTCTTCCATTTGCCATCCTGTGGGTCTTGTAAAGTTATTGCTTTTTATCCCACCATACACTATTGAACTATTGAACCTCAAGACAAGCAACCGTTTTTGTTCGACCAGGAAGGGTGAATTCTCAGCTGTATTACACCCTCGATGGAAACGGTAAAACGAACAATACCGTAAAGCTACAATATACTCTTGACAGTTTGATCCATTTAGTAGTGAAGGCAGCCTACAAAGGGTTTACGGGTTTGTTGGAAGCCATTCATGAGGCGATAAAGGCTTTTGTGGCGATAGCGATAAGGCTGTCATTGACCGATCGTCACATACGGGCAGGATTTTCCCAATTTCTCTACCATTTTACACGCACGTCAGCGTATTGTACCAAGCTTTTAGCGTGGTGCATTTTCGAAATCGCGTGAGGTACTTTCAACTTAGCGAGGCTAAGAACGCTGATTTGGCGTCCTTGACACTCTCATTGATTATGGGACTTAAACCAATGGGACACCGGTTAGAAGCTGCCAGCATAAGCGACAGACAGTCCAATGAAAGTGGTCGAACACCACCTTCTGTTCTGCCTTGATGCCCATCTGGAGTAAACCTCGATGATTGGTCTCCAACCTGAAACCGACCAATAGGTAAATTGTGATGCGTGTCAAAGGAGGAGATGCTATCTACCACATTATCCAAAGCTTAAGACTTAACCAGTGTGGACAGACATACTAACCAGCACATGAAGCGGTCTATGGCGATCACTGGCGGCTACCTAATGGTGGCTTATTCAGCGGCCTAACCATGGTGGCGTAGACAGGCAACCATCTAACTGGTATTCCACAGTACAGCAATGGCTGCTAGGCGGTCAGACAATTGTGTGCGAATGCCATTGCAACGATCCTGGGGGACATAGTTCCCACAGAAGTTAGTAGACCAACCTGAAGCCGAACAATGAAAATTCTAAGATTGCTTAATTCGATCACAGTTGATGACTCAACAAAAACTAATAGAATTCCAAGTGTGGCGTTGACACGACGTCAGTGAGTGTTCGTTTGTCTCCATACCCATGGGCGAAAGGTTAATCAGTTATCGCTTCAGTGTCTCCATGTAGGGCGTTATGTAAAGGTCATAGGAACCTATGAATTCTTAGGATAATTAGGTTTCACTTCCATATGGTCGCCCACGGGGACGTAGACAGAGAATAATCTAACTGGCATTCCGCAGTTCAGCAATGGCTGCTAGGTGGTTATACAATTTTGTGTGCTTGTTATTGCGACGATCATGGAAGACATTGTTCCCATTGAAGTTGGCAGACAAACCTGAAGCTGAACAACGAAAATTCTGTTTGCTTACTTCTATCACAGTTGATGGCTCAACAAAATGTGAGAGGATTCCAAGTGTGGTGCTGACACGACGTTAATGAGTGTTTGTTTGTCTCCTAACCCATGGGAGACTTTGTTAGTCAATTACCACTTCAGTAACTACATGTATCACGTTATGTAAAGGTCATAGAAACCTATGTATTCTTAGGATAATTAGGCTTCACTTCCATATGATCGTCCATACGTGTTGAGACGCTTTCACAAGTGGCTCTCCAAATGGAACCATTAGAAGCACAGTCAATGCAGATGGAACCTCCCTATTACGTCAATGGACTGGCATGCTATCCTCATGAAATCGGCATTACTCAACAAATTAACACTTAAAGGGGCTACAATGACTACGGTGTTTATACATGCCACATCGTCTGCTAGAAAGAACGCAAGACTTATGATTAATGGCGACGCAGGCATTTTACTCTGGTACTTCAGGTGAGTACTTGGAACAGACAAACACTGTTGTCTCACCCACGGGCGTTCCTACAATGTGTTTGCAATCATTTACAAAGGCAACCGCGCCGACTAAGCCTGTTTAGAATCACTGTTTCAGCTAGTCTTAGAAGCATTCATGTGTGCACGCCGTGACACAGGTTGTTAGCGGCTTGGCAACTACTGGGAAACATTTTGTCATTGGAAAGTAGGTGATTCCGGAGACATTGTTGAAGGAGGAAAATTGCTCCAAACTCTATGCTTACCATGCGTATGCAATGCTCGTAGGCAGCTCATATCAGGGCCGTAGGGTCACTTGAGATTTAAAGCTTATCAATCATTTGGAAGTGAAGTGTAAATATCATGCTGAAACGCAGGATTGACATGCATCTTACGACCTTAACATAACGGCAGGTTCATGGGTCCTGTAGCGGTAACTGATTACCGAAGTGGCCCACAGGTGTGGCGACGAACGAACACTCACTAATGTCGTGTCACCGCCACACGAGGAACCCTCCTCTTGGGAACAATGGCTACAGATCCACTGATGATCTTACCTATACAGCGAACTTGATCTTAGTATACAATGCGCCGACTACATAAGCAATACCTATCCACGCTATTCACATGAGTGTACGGCCAACTGAAAAAAACACAGCACGAGAAATTTGTACCTGTAAAGCTTTTTAAAAATTCTATTTGCCGTGTTCTAGCTTTACCTCCTTCATACGAATTATTGCATTGTTTCCGATTTCCTCACACTGCCTTAACAATCACACGCACACCCTAAGCTAAGTCGCACACCTATCGATTCTCCAGATTGCTCGCAGTAGCACGATTACACAATGCATACCGCATCACGTGTGGCCAAATAGGCTGGCGAGCAAGGAAGGCAACTGTGCACTCAACCCGTAAGCCTACAAAGCTTCCCTTCCAACAGGGTTGCAGCCAATCCGCATCCTATCACTACTCAATTAGTTGTCATCACGCTCGGGTAAGCCTTCAAAGCGTCTCTTGCAAGAGCCTGCGAGCGCTACAACTTTAACAAAAACCACCAATCCGCTTCTAATTACCACTCACAGATTTAATCTCGCCCCCGTGTTAGTGAAACCTTACGCCAGATTGGCAGCATGACCAATCACGTATAGTATAATGATAGTATAATAATAATATAATAGTATAATATTAATAGTATAATAGTATAAGTAAGTGTAAGTATAATAGTACAATAATAATAATATAATAATGATGATGATAGTATAATGAAACACCACCTCCCCTGCTAGCACGATCGTGTCGAAACAGTGACTTCCCCTGAATCACGATCTCGGTATCCGTAACCCCTGAGTGCAAACATGTCTCGGTTATGGAGATGAGATCCAAAACGTTTGTTGCCCGACGCAACCGAAGCTCGGCGATTTTGCTGAGGAGGCCTTAGGCATTCGTGCACTTGCAGGAGTTTTCAGTTCCCAGCAGTTATCCGACAGATATATGGCTAAGATGAGAGGTTGTGCCGACCGTTGTATGGTCGATCCATATCCGTTTTTGTGGTCCTATCAGTGAGTCGCTTGTATTAGGGTTCGGTGGCCTCCTAAGTAACCACTCTAGCAACTCAGTTTGTCTGTATATAGAGTGAATAGACGATTGCATGGGAAGGTGATTACTTCTTTCACAGATGTTATCAGGGCGAATGTCGATGGGATCCTTACTTCATTAGCGTGCTGAGGTGGTGCTTTAAGCTTGACGACATTTTCGCCCAGCACTTTGAACCAGAGCTCAGTTGGCAGTCTGTTGCGTAGTGACTGCCATCGCTCCACTAGCCCAAGTGCCATCTGCTTAGTTTGAAGCATAACCCTAAGTATCCTTGAATCGCTTCCGAGGTAGCCTGCTGTGCTTGATAGTCTTGAGACAGAAGTGACCACAACGTCATCCAAGAGCCGGGTCTCCTGAATGTAGTACCACTGCTCATAGTCGTGAGTCGCGGCTTCGCAAGCATCATGTTCATGAGCCTGAGGGACGCCATGAACAAGGACGGTTCTCTCTATGGTGTCTGGACGGAACGCTTCTAAGCTGTGATTCGCTTGCTTGCACCCGCACTATGAAACGTCTGAGAAGAAACGGACCAAACAGTATCCGTTCTTGAGACTAGCTCTCGAAAACAAGATTGCTTCCACCTCATCGATAGAGTTTGGGACCATAGTGCTTGAAATTCGAGTGGCGGGCAATCATCGTCAAGTTGAAGGGCTTTATCTGAATAACATGCAGGTTGGGTATGGTGTTCCATTTACTCAGATAAT